AAACAATGGTGGAATTTTTCCTGTCAATTTGTTGTAGTAGACACTGTAAGATTGGGTGGATAATGGTGGAATTGGCAATGGTCCTTGCAACCTGTTATAGCTAAGGCTTATTATGGCTAAATTAACCCACAGAAGCATATCTGGATGTTGCTCAAAGCCTATTAGAAAATTTTCCTTAGGGTTTAAAAGCCCCAGAGTTTCTTTACTTGTGTTAAAAAACCATGATGGAATTTGGCCACGGATATTGTTTTCCTGAAGATGCAGAACCTTCAGTTCGTGTTGGAAGCGTATAAAATCTGGGAACTCCCTCAAGTTGCATGAACCTAGTAATAACATTTGAAACTTTGGAAGAGTGGAATTGGTACTGTTTTTGGTCAGCAATTTTAATTTGTTACTGGACAAATTGAGCTCAGTAAGAATTTTTAGCTTAAAAAAAATTTCAAGCGCTGAGTCGCTGAGATTATTGTAAGAAAGATAAGCAGCTTCAAGATTCTTTAGCTCAGAGAATGAGCTTGGGATTGGGCCTTGCAATAGATTGTACGAAAGGAACAGATCGGTTAATTGTGTTAGGTTACCAAGTGAATCTGGAATGGACCCTGAGAAATAGCATTCAGTGAAATCTAACGTCTTCAAGAAATTAAGATTTCCAATTGAGTCCGGTAGCTTGCCAGAGAAACTGGTGACAGCAAGTTCTAGATCCTGAAGGGGGCTGCTTTGGTGAAATTTGGGCAAATGGCCAGTGAGATTTTCATTATAACACACACTGAAAAATTGAAGCTTTGGTAGGTGGAATATGCTTACTGGGAATTCCCCACGCAGCCCACAATCTTTTAGAACAAGAGTTGTCAAGGAAGGTAAGTTGGCCAATGTATCAGGTACTTCAGAAGATATGATCACCTTACTGAGATGAAGCTCTTTGAGGTTAGTCAACTTTTGAAGTAAGCTTCTCAGGCCATACTTTTCAAGTTTCAATAGTCTTGCTTTTGATGAGTGAATACTGTAAGGAAAATTAACATCGTAAAGAGGATCAACATTGTGAGAAAGATCAAGCAAAACTAATTTTGACAATTTTGAGATCTCTGGAGGGATTTGACCTGAAAAAAGAGATAGGGAAAGGTTGAGACTCGTTAACCTTGAGAGCTGGCAAATTTCTGATGGGATATGAGAGTAATTGAAGTCATTATTGGCAAGGTTAAGTCTCTGAAGGTGAACTGCGCTGAAGAGGCTGCTCCTTGAATTAAGAAAACCATAGAGGAAACTGCTGCTCAGGCCAAGGCCAATCACATGACCGGTGTCCCGATCACACTCGACACCATCCCATGAGCAGCAATTGCTAGTTTCTCCTTCGAGCTTCCATGACGCAACCTTGGGATAAGCAGAAGGACGACCAGAAGCAGATCCAATCCAATCCTAAAAACATTCAAACCCCAGACCCGCCCATTATGCCATTATATATGGCTTTGAAGTGAATTTGGACTGATACGTTAATATTTTATAAACTTTACACTGATGTATTTTCTCTTAGTAGTATCAGTTCAAATCCCAATCCTATTCTACAATGTAAACTAGGGGGTGGAAAAATGGTGATGTGAGGTGCATATTGTAGAAATTTAATGTATAAAGAGAAATAAAGAATTGTATTATTGATTCATATATTGTTTATGTTTACAATGATTCCTATATATAGAAGAGAAGAATAGGTAGTAGGTGGAGTAGGTGAAGTGGGTGGAGTAGGTGAAGTGGAGTAGGTGAAGTGGAGTAGGTGAAGTGGGTGAAGTAGGTGATAGGTTTTAACAGCCCCCCGCAAACTCAAGGGGGATAGGAACTAACCAACTTGAGTTTGGAGAGAGTAACATGGCTGGAATAAAGATTAATACATAAAATAAAAGAGGATAGGAGACACTGTATGGTCGTGTCAGA